AAGAGCTTTTCCTGAATTCGTTCTGGCCCAAGCAGAATTGGGGAGGGCCTTGTTCCTGTCTCAGCCGCTGGATAAAGAAGGTAGGATGGCTGGGATTTTTGTGGCAGTTTGGTCAGATTCTTCTTCTTCCAGACTGCTTGGTACCCTCTACAAGGACAGTTATTCCAATACACAGGGGTACCCATGACCTTGTATAACTTCTACCTCCTCCTCTTTGCTCTCCACAAAAGCTGCTCATTCCAGCTATTCTCCCAACAAGCACAAATGAAGTTTTGTAAGAATGTCCTCACAGGGCTGGCAGCTGTTTCTGTAGCAGAGACCTTGCAGAGAGCATAGCATGGTCATAGGCCGTTGTGTGTAGGATGTTCCCTTCTATAGGGTGAGCTAATTCAGCCAGTCAGCTGGGTTGCATTAGGAAGAGTGTTGCCAGCAAGTCAAGGGAGGTAATCCTCCCCACTCTATTCAGCCCTGGTGAGGCCTCACCTGGAGTACTGTGTCCAGTTCCGGGCTCCCCAATACAAGAGAGACATGATGCTACTGAAACAAGTGCAGCAAAGGGCTACTAAGATGATTAAGGGATTGGAGGATCTCGCCTACGAGGAAAGGCTGAGAGAGCTGGGACTGTTCAGCCTGGAGAAGAGAAGACTAAGGGGGGGATCTGATCAATGTGCATAAGTATCTGAAGGGAGGGTGCCAAGAAGATGGGGCCAGACTCCTCTCAGTGGTGCCCAGTGGTAGGACAAGAGGCGATGGGCACAAATTGAAACACAAAGTTATATCTGAACATGAGGAAAAACTTTACTGTGAGGGTGACTGAGCACTGGAACAGGTTGCCCAGAGAGGCTGTGGAGTCTCCCTCCTTGGAGACGTTCAAAAGCTGCCTGGACACAATCCTGTGCAAGGTGCTCTAGAGGATCCTGCTTGAGCAGGGAGGTTGGACTAGATGATCTCCAGAGGTCCCTTCTAACCTCAACTGTTCTGTGATTCTGTGATATTGTATTAAAATGTCTCTATTTCTATACTCTAAGGTATTTCTATTCTTCAATAGGCAGTCCAAAACCAAAGGCTGCCTCACTTCTCTTGGCTGAATTTATCACATCACCCGTAGGGCTCTTTGGTTTAAATTGATTCTGGCAAAATGCTGCGCCTGCTGAAAGGTTCCTGATTTAAGGAGCGTGGAGAAGTGGGAGGTTTTATTTAATGTTAGAATAGGTATAACGGCTGGCAGGAGAATTTCCTCTACCCTGATCCTGCCAATGTGCCTTCTGCCCTAGAGGACCCACCCCATAGCAGCCTGGGGAAGAGATGGGAAATCAATTTCCGGGACTCGCTTCATCCTTTCCTTCCCATTTCTCCTTTTATCCGGAAGATAAGAATGAAGGATATTCGCTAGCTTGGCAGATTTTGAATGATGCAGGTAGAAGTAATTTGAGCCTACCCCAGAACCTCAGTTCATTTCAGGAAGCCAGTTCTCAGTCACAGTCAGGTTGGTCCATAGTGGAAGCAGTCACCAATTCAAGGAGGGTTCTCAATGCACAGTCCCACAGTTGTGTGTCCTTCTAGGATGCATTCCTCTAACTAAATAAGAATATGCTTCAGAGACTGGACTTGAGTTTCCTCCCAGAGCTTAACGCCTGTGCCAAAATGAAGATGCTGTGTCTGCTTCAAGGACTTTGCAGTGCTAATACTGCAGTATTAGCAGTGATTGGTGTGTAACCTGGAGATGTTCCCCAAGATACAGATTAATCTCTTATCCCTGTCCTCTGCTATTTAGCTTACCCCTGAATCTCCTTCTTACTGCCTGACATAATGCCAGGGGCTGCCTATCATATGCAGACCTCAGGGATGACTGGCTTAGCTTGAGCAGGGAAGGGGGTTAATTTTACAGGATATCTTTTTGCCTCAGATCCTACAAGACAGTTAAAAAATGTGTGAGGTAATTATTCATAAACACGATTCTTTGTACTGCCTAGAGCAAGGCAAGATGAATAATATAGGAGCAGAGATCAAAACATTTACCTATTCATATTCATAGATTTTAATGTCAGAAGGGACCTGTGTATCTAAGGCCCTTAAATTTCACCCAGTTACCTCTGTATCGAGTCCAGTACCTTATGTTTGCCTTATCCGTATATTCAAAAGAAGCCTTCCAGTGTCGCTTTGAAGCCGCAAAGGGACAGAAACTTCACTGAGTCCCTTGATAACTGTTCCAATGATCCATCACACCCTATTTAAAATGTGGGCTTTTTTCCCGTTTGAGTTTGCTTGGCGTATGGTTCCTAGGTATTAGTTCTCATTATGCATTTTCGTTAGATTAGAGTCCTTTAATACCAGTAGTTTCTCCTTAAAATGTATTTATGTACTATAGCCAACTTACTTCTCAGTCTTATTTTTGTTACAATAGTCAGATTCAGACTTCCTAGTTTCCACCCATAAGGCATTTCCTCCAGCCCTCAAATCCTTGCTAGTGGATATATTTTGCACTTTGTGCCATCCCATAAATGTGCGTAGTATTTCAGGCACTTACCACTGACACACAAAGAGATACTCCTGTTTGTTTTGATGTCAAAGGATGACATTAGCCATCCTGAGTCACTGCCTTCTGGGACACAGCATCCCATTTTCCAAGCGTGTTCTGCCTGGCTTTTTCGTAAGCGTATGATTTTTGCATTTGACTCTGTTAAAATGCAGTATATTTAGAAACATGTTGGATCTTATGCAGACCCCTCTAGAAGTCCATCAGAGACCGTCAAGGCAACATCGGCGTCCCTCAAATGGCTCCTTTTAGACGGCTGCTACCTAAACTGCTAGTAAGCTGATTACTGACATTACATACCCTCATAGCATGGAACCCTATGAAAGTCAAGCTCTTTATCAAAATATAATTAAATTATCTTGCAACCATGCAGGTAGTCTCATCAGACAAACTAGTAATCATACAAATGAAATCAATTTTGGCAGCATCTGTTTTCTCTACTAGTGCCTCAGCTAAGATAAATATCGTTCCTGTTCTTCAGTGCTTAATGAATTGAAATCTGTATCAGATTTTCCATTATTTTTCATGGAATTGATGTCAAGCAAACCATGCTGTATTTATGAGGCTCATCTTTGTATATCTTTTCAGATTATTGGCACAGTGCTTCCATATTTGGGACATGTCCCAGTGCTCCAACACAGATTATAAATGAACATCAGCAGGCCAGCAATTTACTCAGCACGCTCTTTAAGGACTCTCGAGTAGAGCTGTTTCGCCAAGCTGACTTCAAACTGTTTAGCTGTAGCAGATGGTGTTTCCAATGCCTCTTGCTCATTAATGAGCAGAAGTTATTTCATTGCCCCTCCCACCCCGTGCTTCGGGCACGTCCCCCTGCTGTTTTCTATGTCATGAATGCTGAACTCTTTGGCCTCTTCTGCAATATTGCAACATGATCGATGATTTTCCTCTAGTGGTGGCCAGTACCACGGCTGGGATTTCTTTGGTTCCTAATATGCTGCTTGTACAGATATCATTCCTAGCCAGAGAGGCACCCAAGCATGCATACAATTGCACAGTTTTTCCCTGAAATTGGCACTTCCCTGATATTTTATTCCCAGGCCCAGTGGAAATTGAGATGTGTCCACTTTCAACTCAGTCAGCCCTAGAGCTGCAAACTCAAGCCTACATCCTTCTCTGCCAGTGTGTTCCGGTCTCCCTCTGTCTTATTTTCTGCTGGTGTAGTTGTCTGTCTTAACAAAAGACTTCATAAAGATAAGATTTTGTGATGTATCAGGCTGAAATGAATGAGTGCATACTGTTTCCTGGCATTCAGAGGTCAGTTGTTTCATAAGTGAAAGGCTAATGCTGGGCTGTACAGGATAAGGTTTATTTTTGGCCTTTGCCTGTGCCAATGAGGATATTTAGTGGACTTTTCTGCTAGGTCGATAGGCGTATACTCAGGATATTCCCTGCAGCCAGTTGGGATCTTTCTAGATCACAGAGTTCAAACAGCCAACATTTGGGCAGGTGACCTCAAAGGAAACGTGTGATTCAGTAGGCGCGGTCCTTCCTCATGAGTCAATGCTGATTCAGTGCTGAAATATGATGTAGAAAGATGCTGTGTTGCTGGAGGATACATTTTTCATTAGAAATGTTAACACTGACCTGAGCATTTGTGGCTATCTAAAAACTTATGCTATTATGCATAATAATGATTATAAATGATAATTCACTTAGGATTCATTTATTTAGCCTCCTTATATTGCTTCTGCCCTTTAGTGTCAGGAGGATGCTGCTTTTTTTTTTCCTAAAGTTTTCTTAAGTAGGAGGTTCCTCTGCCTAGCTGAGCAATCCCGACAGGATATTTAATGGATGGAGTTAAGTTGTTCCCAGATTGCATGCTGCAGGTTTCCTGTAGAGATGCAGCATCCATTGGCAGTTAAGGCTATGTATGATGTCAGTATGAAGGTACGGTACAAAGCATTATAACCTCTGGCATAAAAAGAGCAGATTTCCCTTCACAGCATTTTAAGGTGTACAAAATGCATTCAATCATCTGTCCTAGGAGCCAGCGCTGGCTTGAATGGAGGATGCTGCTGTTGGGCAGCTCCTGTTTTGAGGTGAAGGGTTAGCTAGATAAAATGGTCTGTCTGGAGTAAATACAAAACAAGCGTGAAGAGCTGTTTCAAAATAGTCTTTGTGCTCCACAGGGAAGATTGGATCACAAGAGAGAATGGAAGAGCAATGTAGTAAGTCATTTATAGTAACACTTAAGTCTGTTATGAATAACAGAACATGGTATTTATTTGTCTGAAGGACTAGCTTCCTGGAGCAAGATGCACTTCAGGACCGTGTGCTTCCCCAAGGCTCAAATTTCACTGCCAGTCATGTAGAGGAATCTTAAGGGGTGGCTGAAAGCAATATGCAACTCTGCTAGCTGTTCCCTTAGCAGCGTCCACAGCACCCCATTCCATACGATCATACAGCTGTCATAAAACCTTTCTCCATGTGTTATTTCTTGCAGGTAAACTATGACCACTTTACTATTAGTGTTTGTGTGTTTGCGACTCATCACTGCAGCCGTCTCTGTGGAGCTCTCAGGTACGTGCACCTAGGTGCAGGACACTGGCACTGAGCAATGTGCTGCACTCTGGTCCCATCCCCGACGGTGAACAGCCACCATAAATAAGCACACCCAAGATTTGCTCTGTACACACACAGAGGCCCTGTCTTTGGATGGCTGCTATACCATAGTCTGCCGCTGCTCTTGTGCTTGGGGAGCAAGGGAGATCACTTCAGGCAGGTGTATATTTATAGGGAAACTAAGGGAGCTGTAGCCTTCCCCTTTCTCAAACCCTACTGGGTGTGATACCACATCGTGGGTAGTAGCTACACTGCAGCAGAGCCCTTCACTCCCTTCATGCCTGCATCCAGCACTGCTCCCAGCTCCAGAGGGTAACCATGGTGCAAGGGTCATTATCGCAGCTTCCATTTCTGTAAGTTATCTAAACAAAAAAAAAAAGGGTATGTCTGAATACAGGTGCAGGTTTGCAAACTAGATAGCGGCACTGGAGCATTAAAAGCACTGGAAATTTTGGATGAAGTGCATTACTGAGGTAACCTTTGCTTTGTTTGGGAACTGGCAGACAATAGTGATGGCCTGGAAGTGAAGATACCTGAGCAGTCTCCCCTGCGTGTTGTCCTGGGACGCTCCCTGAACATCCCCTGTTACTTCAACATCCCAGAGGAAGATGACACCGGTGCTCTGCTGACCCCACGGATCAAATGGAGCAAACTCTCAAATGGGACAGAAGTTGTCTTGCTAGTGGCCACCGGTGGGAAAATTCGACTCAACACTGAGTACAGGGAAGTGATCTCTTTGCCCAATTACCCTGCCATCCCCACCGATGCCACCTTGGAAATCAAGGCACTAAGATCCAACCACACTGGGATTTATCGCTGTGAAGTGATGTATGGGATTGAGGACAGACAAGACACAATAGAGGTCCTAGTGAAAGGTGAGATCCTACCTTTGCTGTTTCCCCTTAGGCTCAGAATGTCTGAACTGGGAAGAAGGAACTATGTAGACAGGGAAGGTGCTGCTCTCTCCTTAGGCCTAAACCCTTTCAGTCAGGTCACAGACAAGGCCACAGGCAGGAGAGCAAAAGCCATGGGCCAGTCATTTAATTTAGCAGGTTGGGAGCAGACTAAACAAAGCAATGAAATGACTCAGTTTGGCAGAAGCTGAGTTACAGAGTTTGCAAAGCCATGCCCTTGGCAGGAGGTGCTACTGGATATGGTGGGTTATTGCTCAGGGGGTGAAGCATGCACAGGGCTATTATAAGACCTTTTTGTTTCTCCAAGCATTTTAGGAGATGGGATGCCCTCAGGTGGAGCATTGGTCTCTTCTAGAAAAACTTTTCCCACAGTCTTGCAAGGCCCATCCTAGTAATAGGTGCATAAAATAGCAACGGTTATGTTTCCTGCAATCCTTATCTTTATCAAGGTTTTTACTTTCAGTACAGCTATTGAAGGAGAGGCCAGGGAGATAGCTTTCACTAGAGCCTTTAATTAGGAGGTTTTCTGCTGGTCACATGCATTGGAGCATATATCTCATAGCGAAGGGCTGTAAGCCCCTTCATTGCCTCCTGGTGAGTTTTCTCCTTGACTGAAACCGGCTCATGACAGACCTGAGTGTGCAGATAGCCATCCTTTGTTTGATTTGATTTGCCTTGGCACAAAATGTCTTCATTGTTTCCTGGTATTTGTATGGTGGTTGACACGCTGCATCCTTGGTCCTGAGCGGGACCTTGGAGGGTTGCAGCTTTAAAATCCAAACAGCAAAACGGTCCCTGCCCATTGCCCCCACTGGCCAGTTTCTGCACATCTCTACATCAGGAAAGTATTGGAGCCTTCTGACAGTGATATGGTCTCTATTCTGGATGATGTGTTTCCTCCCCCTGTTTTCACTATCTAGTATTCAAATACTAGATACTAATATTAATATCTAGTAAATATTAATACACCATGATTTTTTTGCAGCATCAAGGGGGAGTAGTCTCTGTTCTAGGCCACCAGCGTGTTCCACAGGCCAAGTGTCCTGTGTCCTGTGAAGGGAGCCCATCAAATTGCCCTTGGCTTGAGATTCTCGAATAAAGACAATCAACATAAATAGTTCATGGTTTCTAGTTGAAAGGCAGTTTCTTTTCTTTTGATTCCCTAACTTCTTTGGAAGGAAAGAGGCTGATTCCTCTCTAGCGTGTGTGTGATGGCCTTTGTGTTTTCCAGGCGTCGTATTCCACTACAGAGCAATCTCCACGAGGTATACCTTGAACTTTGAGAAGGCAAAGCAGGCCTGCATCCAGAACAGCGCTGTCATTGCTACTCCCGAACAGCTGCAAGCTGCCTATGAAGATGGGTATGAGCAGTGTGATGCCGGCTGGCTGGCTGATCAGACTGTCAGGTAATAAACCGTGGAAGGGAAAGGAAAACCACAGGAGAGGCAAGAAGTAGATTGTTAGGTAAGGACTTTTGTAATGAGGACACTGCCTGAGGATGGTTCAGAAATAGTTGCTAAATAGCAGTTGTTGTAATTATTAGTGTGTGAAGGGAGCTGGTGGGTTGCAGGCCATTTTCTGCCTGGGAGGAATCCATAGCAGAAAAACACTGTGACCACTGTCCTCCTCACCTGGTGGTGACAGCTGAGTGCTCAATGGCTTAATTCTGATCTTTCAACCTCCATGAATGAAACAGATGCTATGCCAAGATCAATAAGCGTGTCTCAAACATTCCATGCTGTGCATCCCCCATTAGGGAAGCACCTTGCCCTGATGTCTTTGGCTGGTGCTCTCAGGGACTTGCTGTGCTCAGGATTGTGAGAGGGAGGACGGAACAGTAGATCTTCTTGCCCCTTACCCCTAACCCAAGAAAAAACCTGACGTATTGCCCTACCTGTTTCAACCTCATTGCGAGAGCTGCACTGTGATCTGTGGCTCTCTCCAAGCCTTGGATCTGGATGTAAGAGTCTTGCCCACCCTGCACTCCCTACATACTCTCTTTCTCCCCTCTCAGGTACCCCATCCACCGTCCCCGAGAGCGTTGCTATGGTGACAAGGATGAATTTCCTGGAGTGAGGACCTATGGTGTCCGGGAGACAGATGAAACCTATGATGTTTACTGCTACGCAGAGCAAATGCGAGGTGATTTGGGGGCTTTTCTTACTAGGCACAGAAGCAAAGCTCTGATCATGCCTAGACTAGACAACAGTAAATACAGAGGAAGACAGGTTAAAGATGGAAAAGCACATCGCCGCAGCAAGACCAGACAATCTCTATGGTCTCTTCGTTAGACCATGGACAATTCTGGTGTCAAATGACTAATGCACCACGGAGGGTGGTGTCAGTCTAACCTCCACCAGAGGACATGTCACCCTATGTGTCACTAATCATCTGTTCAAGGGTGTGATATTCAGAGGTGTCTGTCACCCATGCTTACAACAGAGATCCATTGAAATGTTCAGCACATCAGAACTGAAATTGTCCATCTTTCTTCTGTCTTGTGATTCCAACTAGTTTTGTTTTGCTCCAATTGATTCACTCTGTAAAATTCCCTTTCTTTTGGTCTTTAGAGACTATCACCAATGTAGAGTTGAAGTTCATCTGTAATATACAGGATTTTTCATCCTAGTCAGGCTCTGAAGAAAAAGGGAAAAGGACGGAAAGGGAACTGGGATTAAACTCTACAGCTAATTCCTGTGCTAATGAATCGTGTAATTATAGGCAAAGTCTTCTATGCCACCTCCCCGGAGAAGTTCACCTTCCAGGAAGCTTTTGACAAATGCCGCAGTTTGGGAGCACGTTTGGCCACCACGGGAGAGCTGTACTTAGCGTGGAAGGATGGCATGGACATGTGCAGTGCAGGCTGGCTGGCAGATCGCAGCGTCCGGTATCCCATTTCAAAAGCACGGCCCAACTGTGGAGGAAACCTGGTGGGCGTGCGGACAGTGTACCTGTATGTCAACCAGACAGGGTACCCTCACCCTCAGTCTCGCTACGATGCCATCTGCTATAGTGGTGAGTGTATTACAGTTATGGGACTAAACAATAGGTCTCTACACATGTAAGCAAGCAGGAGTTTCTTGTCCAGAGATAACTTATCCTAAAAGTATCCTCTATCATCCAGTGCATGCTGCTTTGTCACAGTGTTCACCAACATTTTCTCTACTCTGATTTTAAAAAATGAGATGAGAAGAAGGGACTACCCAGATTTCCCTCGCAAAACTGTTCACCAGTCTAGTCTAGGAGCATGACTTCAATTCATTGTAATTCACACAGAGTAGAGAGTTTTCCACTTCTGGTTATTTTTTTTATTTTTTCATCTCAGGCACTTTGAAGTAAGAATCTCCAGTATAAAAGCCAGATCCACAACTCATTGTTTCAGCTGCCTTCATCAACTTGTGCCTCTGAGTACTTGCATTGCTTGTCTCTCTCAATGATGTTTACCTGTGTGACAGCCCCACTCCAAACTAACCTGGAGAATATTCTTGCTCCTTTATTAAAAAAGGGAGAAAAAGCAGGATTGGTAAAGGTGCCTGTACCTAGTCCCTGCATTCATGCTCAGGTAGGGAGAAAATGGTCCATAATGTGCATGAATGCCTGCGGTGGAGAATACCACCCTCTTCTTCCCAGTCCTCACACACTTTCCACCTTTGATAGCTCTGCAGGAAACAACGAGCAGAGCTCAGGTGATTTATGTGCAAGACTTTGAATGCTGAGGATGGTAGAGAAGGAAGAAGAGAACAAATTTGACACTGAAGATATGTGTACTGTTGTACGAGCTAGAAAATGGTATTGGAAATAAATAGAGAGGGAAAAGCAGTATAAGGCGAAAGGCCTAGCTGTGTCTCCCTATCTCTTCCCTCCCCAGCTGAGACCTTCCCTGCAGCATTTCCAAGAGGTCCCTTTCCTCCCTGGTCCATTCAGTTCTGTTTTATGCTGCTCTTTAAACTGCTTTCCTTGCTATAGGATGCTCTGTTCAGTAAGGTGTTAAGAAGGACTGCCCCATGTTCTCCTAAGCTGCAAGGGAAACAACTAGAGAAGGAAAGTGATTTGGGAGGAGAAAGGCAAGAGTAATACACTCATTAGAATTTATTTATTACGGAAGGAGGCTTCAGCCACCTTGGTAATGGAGGTAGCATGCTCATATGCGATGAGTTCTTAAGTCCTTGCCATCTGACTGTTCTCCTGGCAGATCAGAAGGAGATAGTGATCTTAGTGGGACTTTATGCATTTACTGTGAGGAGCCAGTTGTCTTTCTATACCTCGCTCAATGTCTCAGACCTGCTGTGGAGGTTATCCAAGCACCCCTACCTTCCTCTGGCCATCTTGAATTCCTTGTAACGGGCACTAGAGGTCAGTGCAGACCTGGATTTGGGCAAGGTGTTCCCGGGAATGAGAGCTAGGAGGAGAACAGGGAAAGTCCTCCTCTCTGATTTACCAGCCCTTTATGTAGTGACTCATTGCCTCTAACTAATGAACACGCCCTGGCGCTGGGGTGTTATGGAGAGCCACAGTGGAGTAAGGAAGAACATTTATTTTACAGGAATATCATGATTTATCTGCTTCTCATAGAGCCAGCAAATGCCCATCTTCTTCTCTGAGGCAGCAGCCAAGTACGTCTAGACCTCGCTAGACTGACCACATGCCCTGTAATCATTTCTTTGTCTCCTGATTTAGGTGACGACTTTGAATCTCTAGTCCCAGTGCAGTTTACTGATGAGACAGGAAGTGAGCTGGGCAGTGCCTTTACCATCCAGACTGTCACCCAAACAGAAGTTGAGCTACCTCTGCCGCGCAATGTCACAGAGGAGGAGGCTCGTGGCAGCATTGCTACCCTGGAGCCCATTGAGATCACACCCACTGCCACTGAGCTGTACGAAGGCTTCACCGTTGTGCCCCATCTCTTCACCACCAGTGTCACAGTACAGACAGCTTTCCCTGAAGAAGAGAACGTGACCAGAGAAGAAGTCACAGAAGTGTGGGCTATGCCTGAAGTTGTCACAACCTCAGTTTCAGACACTGCCTTCACCACTGGAACAGCAGAGGTGAGCTCAGTGGAAGAGACCTTGGGGGTGACTGCCACACCAGGACTAGAGTCTGCCTCAGTGTTCACAGTGGAAGATCAGATTGTACCAGTGACAGCTTCCCCTGATGTCGCTTTCTTCCCTGAGCAGCCCATTTCTCCCACAGGTAAGTCACCAGGACTCCAAAAAGCCTGGAGGTCTGTTTCTTCTATGGTCAGCTATTCAGCTGAAAGCAGTTCTGAGCTTCTTCCATCTCAGAGTGCATCCAGCTCTCTGGAAGCACATAGGCTTGTTTGGGAGTTTGCTGTCAGGGACAGGCTGAATGCCTCCTCCTGCAATGGGACAGGAACAGTGAGGAGGAGGCTGTGGGCCACCTCATCGTGTGCTGGAAGGAGCCCAGCTGGCTGATGCTTGGAGCTGCAGCAGTCACACTCTGAAATCCCATGTACATCCTGCTGTAGGAAAGGGGAAAGTCAAGGTAGTAAGATCCTGAAGGAGGGCTAAAGAAATGCCCAGAACGTTGCACTTGGTGAGAACAGAGCTCAGTGAATGATGGATCTCAGTCAAAGTGGGTTTGACAGGCTCTGGTCCTTGCAGGGTAGTTGGGAAGATCCTTTCTGGTCGCTGGTCTGGGTGGAGGTGGAGTTCATATGTCCCCTGTCTCAGCGCTGCTTCACTTCCCCCCCAGGTGTGGTGTTTCACTACCGTGCTGCCACCAGCAGATATGCCTTCTCTTTCGTCCAAGCCCAGCAGGCCTGCCTGGATAACAACGCAGTTATTGCCACTCCTGAACAGCTCCAGGCTGCCTACGAGGCTGGCTTAGATCAATGTGATGCCGGCTGGCTGCGAGACCAGACAGTGAGGTAAAACTATAGTGAATTGGAGAAGATACACTTTTAAAGTGGATATGCAGTCATGAACTTGAGGCTATACTCTGGTGCACCCTGCCATTCTGTTTATCAGCAGCTGAGACTTTCTGACCTGAGATTGTCTATATACCATCATATTTAACAGTGACCAATAGAATTGTTCTCATTAATATGTCTAACCCCTTTCTTAACCTATGTGTACATCCCACATAGTAGGATGTGTAGTTACATGTTGCCAGGCTGTAGGTGCAGATTAAAGCTGTTTCCAAGTCACACTAAGGGCTACGAGCACCTTGAAATGCCAATTTTTTATATCCTGTTCCCAAGTACACCACTGAGATTCTTCAGTCCGGGGTACATTAGGCTGAATCTCCTCTCTTCTTCTGGTAGGTATCCCATTGTGAATCCTCGAAGTAACTGCGTAGGAGACGGAGAGAGCTCTCCAGGCGTGCGGTCATACGGCATGCGCCCAGCCTCAGAAACCTATGATGTATACTGCTATATTGACAGGCTAAAGGGTATGTTCTTCCCCTTCTTCCGAACATTGCTGATGATCTTTATACCTGCATGTGCGTGTGTGTGTCAACAGCAGATATGTCCCCTGGATACCGGGCGTGGAGACGTTCAGGGGCTCATACATATTTTTTCTATTTTCCCTCAGGTGAGGTGTTCTTTGCAACCCAGCCAAATCTATTCACTTTCCAAGAAGCTCAGGAGTATTGTGAAAGCCAAAATGCCACTTTGGCCTCTGTTGGACAACTCCACGCTGCCTGGAAGCAGGGTCTGGATAGATGCTATGCTGGCTGGTTAGCTGATGGCAGCCTCCGATACCCAATCGTGACCCCGCGACCTGCCTGTGGGGGAGATGCACCTGGAGTGAGAACCGTCTACCTGCACGATAACCAAACGGGCTTTCCCAGCCCCCAGTCACGGCATCACGCATTCTGTTTCAGAGGTACCATCCCACCCTTTGTAGTGCCCATGTTGCATAGACCTGCCCCCTCAGGAACAGGATTTCAGGAGAGAGATTGGTTACGTAGGGGTTCCAGTTCATACTAAGCAGGATTCACCAAAAAGAGCTGCTGCTTCTGGGGACTCAGAGGGACATCCTCCTATTGTTCATTGTTCATTTATTTTATTGTCCTGAGAAACTCTCAAATGGAAAATCTCATCCAGTTCCCTCTGCCTCCAGTTCCTCTATTTAGCTTGTCTCCCAGCATGAGAGGCCTTTTTTTTTTTTTTTTTTTTTGCCATGGCTCATTTTCTTGGCATCTAGAACATTCATGGAGCCTCCTCATATGCATCTGTGAGAGATTATGAATTCTTAGAAACTCCCTCCAATATCTTTCTGTCCCAGCTCTGCCATCTGTGGAGGAGGAGGAAGGGGTTACCTCATTCTTTGAAGAAGAAATGCTCGTAACCCAGGTGATCCCTGGAGTGGAGGGAGTACCTTCTGGGGAAGAAACAACTGTGGAGATGGAGTTTCCCACTGAAACTGAGATTCAGACAGCCTGGGGAACAGAAATCTTTCCAACTGACATATCGCTGCTTTCAGGTGAGTCAGACTCTTCCCTGTCTCTCAAGTCACGCTTGGCTGGTGTTGAGCAAACTTAGGGCTATGGGCACTCCTAATACAAATGGACTGTATCCTTGCTGAAGAGAAGCCTCTCTGAATCCAGCTGAGGAGGAGGGAGGAAGCTCACAGACTGCCTTTTCACAGAGTTAGTCCTTCAACTGATGCGCCTCAGATGCGCTTTTCAGTAGAGCATGCTGGGAAGTGTGGAGGCACTCAGGCAGTACACAGTGTTCTTTAGGGACACTTCGTAGGCTACCCAGCAGCTAGATTCAATGTGAAGAGGAAGGATATACTCAGATTCAGAGGAAATGTGAGACTGAGGACCTTCAGTTACTTAAATTAAGGGAAGGACTTCTTGCTCTCCCTGCTTTGCACTTTGCTATGTAAAAGGCCTTGAACTGAAACACGGTCCCACTTGGGGAAATTGGGATGATTTTTGTTCTTTTGTTTTGTAATTTTTCACCATATTAGCAAAGTCTAGGAATTATCCTGTGATCTGGATATACAGAGCTGCACGTCTTGTGGATGTGCACACAGCTACCACAGGAGAAGCTGTGTGTATTATTGAACTTCTTTCTAAAATTGAACTATGTTAACAGCCATCATACCAAGATGGCACTAGGCAGCATCATTTCTGCAGATAAGCATGCACAGCACTGGCAAGGCACCTCACGCTAATGTATGGTTGTGTGTCTCTGACAGGGGAGATAAGCTAGAGACAGGTTTCAGATTCTGCATCCCAAGGGGGATGGAGTAGGAGACTGTGGTGTGGTCAGAACAGTACCAAACTTTTTCCCTTCCACATGGTCCAATTTCCAAGGAAGCAGTAGCTTTACTTTGGCATCTGGGAACTGGTGCCACCATTGTCCTATGTCAGAAATGTATACATTCTATCAGTTTCTCAAAGGTATTTAAGACATTAGCACTTATTTAAGACTTATTAAGCACTTATTAAGCACTTAGTCCTCATTAACAAATTGGAAAGGATCAAAGAATTTCTGCAAGCCCGTAGGACTTTGCACCTTTATCCCAAAAGTTATTTCGTTTAATGTCACTTTAGAAGTAAAGTTGATCAAGAAATTGTTAATAACTTCTTTAAAATAGTTCAAAGTTGATCAAGAAATTGTTAATAACTTCTTTAAAATAGTTCAGTAAATCATTTTCCTATCTCCCTCTCTTTGTTCTCTCTCTCTTTTCCAGTGAGTCCATCTGCATTTCCTCCAGCTACTGTCATACCAGAAGAAACAAGTACCGATACTTCCATTAGCATGTCAGGCGAGATCACTGAATCTGGAGAGCCTCAAGTCAGTGGTGAATCTTCAGCATCTGGGTGGGTATCTGGAGTCCCAGATATAAGTGGAGAATCGACTTCTGGAATTTTTGAACTTAGTGGAGAACACTCAGGGATTGGAGAAAGTGGATTACCATCAGTAGACCTGCATACCAGTGGCTTTCTATCCGGAGAAAGTGGTCTATCCTCAGGGGACCTAAGTGGGGTGCCTTCTGGCATTGTTGATATTAGTGGTTTACCTTCTGGAGAGGAAGATATGTCAGTGTCTACTTCAAGGATACCAGAAATTAGTGGGATGCCATCTGGAGTGGAAAGTAGTGGGCTGACTTACGGATTCAGTGGAGAAATCTCTGGAACTGAGCTAATCAGTGGCCTGCCTTCCGGTGAGGAAAGTGGATTTCCATCTGGTTTTCCTACTGTGTCCCTTGTTGATTCCACTTTGGTGGAAGTTGTAACAACAGCACCAGAAAGGCAAGAGGAAGGAAAAGGATCGATTGGAGTCAGTGGAGAAGGAGATCTATCAGGGTTTCCATCTGCTGAATGGGACACGAGTGGAGGAGCCAGGGGGCTACCCTCAGGAGCTGAGCTCAGCGGAGAGCCGTCCGGAGTGCCTGAGCTCAGCGGAGAGCCGTCCGGAGTGCCTGAGCTCAGCGGAGAGCCGTCCGGAGTGCCTGAGCTCAGCGGGTTACCCTCAGGTCTGGATAGCAGTGGAGAATCATCTGGAATACCTGAGATCAGTGGCCTAGTGGACCTAAGTGGCCTTATTTCTGGTGTTGATGGAAGTGGTGATGCCTCAGGCATTAGCTTTATAAATGCCAGTTTGGTGGAAGTGACAACCCCCTCTGTTACAGAAGTGGAAGCAAAAGAGATTTTGGAGATCAGTGGCTTGCCTTCAGGAGGTGAAGACACATCAGGCATGGTATCTGGTAGTTTAGACATTAGTGGTTCTGGGCATATAGACTTCAGTGGGAGTGTTTCTGGAGTGCTTGAGATGAGTGGACTTCCGAGTGGAGTCATTGACAGCAGTGGAGAAGTCTCTGGAGTTGATGTCACTAGTGGCCTAATGTCTGGAGAGGAAAGTGGACTCATATCTGGCTTTCCTACAGTCTCTCTTGTGGATACCACTCTGGTTGAAGTTGTTACGCAAGCATCAGTTGCACAAGAGGTGGGAGAAGGGCCATCTGGGATGATAGAAATCAGTGGCTTTCCTTCTGGAGACAGAAGAATATCTGTAGAAGGGTCTGGAGCTGTGGAGACTAGCGAGTTACTTTCAGGGACAGGAGACCTCAGTGGAGAGCCATCTGGGATCCCATATTTCAGTGGAGACATTTCTGGAGTCACAGACCTAAGTGGACAATCTTCAGCAGTGACTGATATTAGTGGGGAGGTCTCAGGGCTTCCAGAAGTCACTTTAGTCACTTCTGATTTAGTTGAAGTTCTGACAAAGCCAACAGTTTCACAGGAACTGGGTGGGGAAAAAGCAGTCACGTTTCCCTATAGTTTTGGGCCTAGTGGTGAGGCCTCTGCATCTGGTGAACTAAGTGGGGAAACATCTGCCTTCCCTGAAACCGGCACAGAAGCATCCACCGTTCAAGAAATCAGTGGGGAAACATCTGCCTTCCCTGAAACCGGCACAGAAGCATCCACCGTTCAAGAAATCAGTGGGGAAACATCTGCCTTCCCTGAAACCGGCACAGAAGCATCCACCGTTCAAGAAATCAGTGGGGAAACATCTGCCTTCCCTGAAACCAGCACAGAAATATCCACCGTTCAAGAAATCAGTGGGGAAACATCTGCCTTCCCTGAAACCAGCACAGAAATATCCACCATTCAAGAAGTCAGTGGGGAAACATCTGCCTTCCCTGAAACCAGCATAGAAACATCCACCGTTCAAGAAATCAGTGGGGAAACATCTGCCTTCCCTGAAACCAGCACAGAAATATCCACCGTTCAAGAAATCAGTGGGGAAACATCTGCCTTCCCTGAAACCGGCACAGAAGCATCCACCGTTCAAGAAATCAGTGGGGAAACATCTGCCTTCCCTGAAACCAGCACAGAAATATCCACCGTTCAAGAAATCAGTGGGGAAACATCTGCCTTCCCTGAAACCAGCACAGAAATATCCACCGTTCAAGAAATCAGTGGGGAAACATCTGCCTTCCCTGAAACCAGCACAGAAATATCCACCGTTCAAGAAATCAGTGGGGAAACATCTGCCTTCCCTGAAACCAGCACAGAAATATCCACCGTTCAAGAAATCAGTGGGGAAACATCTGCCTTCCCTGAAACCGGCACAGAAGCATCCACCGTTCAAGAAATCAGTGGGGAAACATCTGCCTTCCCTGAAACCAGCACAGAAATATCCACCGTTCAAGAAATCAGTGGGGAAACATCTGCCTTCTTCCCTCACATTAGCATAGAGACTTCAACAATCCATGAAACCAGTGGGGAAACATCTGCCTTCCCTGAAATTAGCATAGAGACTTCAACAATCCATGAAACCAGTGGTGAAACATCTGCCTTCCCTGAAATTAGCATAGAGACTTCAGTGCATGAAACCAGTGGTGAAACGTCTGCGTTCCCTGAAATTAGCATAGAAACTTCAGTGCATGAAACCAGTGGGGAAATGTCTGCGTTCCCTGAAATTAGCATAGAAACTTCAACAGTCCGTGAAATCAGTGGTGAAAATTCTGTGTTTCCTGAAATTAGCATAGAAACTTCTACCAGTCAAGAAGCTAGGGGTGAAACATCTGCCTTCCCTGAAATTAGCATAGAGACTTCAGTGCATGAAACCAGTGGTGAAACGTCTGCGTTCCCTGAAATTAGCATAGAAACTTCGACAGTCCGTGAAACCAGTGGTGAAAATGCTGCATTTCCTGAAATTAGCATAGAAACTTCTACCAGTCAAGAAGCTAGGGGTGAAACATCTGCCTTCCCTGAAATTAGCATAGAAACTTCAGTCCATGAAACCAGTGGGGAAACATCTGCGTTTCCTGAAATTACCATAGAAACATCTACAAGTCAAGAAGCCAGGGGTGAAACATCTGCCTATCCTGAAATTGCCATAGAAACATCCACAGTTCAGGAAGTAAGTGGAGAAACTTCTATTTACCCTGGAATTAGCATAGAAACTTCAACTTCAGTCCGTGAAACCAGTGGTGACACATCTGCATTTCCTGCAGTTAGAATTGAAACATCTACAAGTCAAGAAGCCAGGGGTGAAACATCTGCCTTCCCTGAGATTAGCATAGAAAAATCCACAGTCCATGAAACCAGTGGTGAAACTTCTGCGTTGCCTGCTGTTCACATTGAAACAGCTACCACATTTTTGGCTGGTGCTGAGTCTTTCGGAGTTCCCGAGGTGAAAGAAATTCCTAAAGTAACATCTGAAACTCTGACACCCTCAGTCACAGACATTTCAGGAGAAACCTTTGTCCCAGACATTGTAATTAGTACCAGTATTCCAGATGTTGAATTAACACAGGAGCCCAGGAATCCTGAAGAAGCTCAGCTTGAAATAGAGTCCTCCACTACCACGATGTCAGGGCAAGAGACAGAAACAGCTGTTGTTCTAGACACTCCACATCTGTCAGCCACTGCTACTGCTATCCTGCCTCAAGTATCGCAAGAAGCAATAGATGCGTTGGGACCGACTACTGAAGGTACTGTACCTTGTTCTTCTGCTCCTCACACAATATGAAAGGGAAGGCAGGGAGGAGATATAGCTGTTGCTTTTCACATATGGCAAAGAACATTAACACAGAAATAGACTTGCAAAGAACTTTATCGTGGTGGGAAACCATAAATATGCGGGGTTTTCCTCCTTACAGTAAAAGCCGAAACCTCAGGCTTTCAGATCACCAAGCACTGATAAATGACATCCCCGAAGAAAGCCATGTTTAATGCCCCTGGCCCTTGGGGCAGTTCTGCACTGGGAATACTCCAGTGTCACCTCTATTAAGACAAGTGGACAAGGCCCCAAAACAGGTCATGTTCAATAGCTTCTATCCTAACAAATGATACTGTGTTTGGGTAGGTGAGGTGATTATTCAGCCTCTGTAACAGCATTCCCAGGAGCCTTCTGGACCTCCCTTTTGCCTTTCTATGGCAGTTACATTCCTCTGCGGAGAGCAGCAGAGGAACAGAGCAAGGGAAGCATCAGGCAACATGTAGCTGGACTTCCCCCCTCTGCGCTGTAGTAATAAGCATCGAGTCAGTCCTCTAAATTGCTATCCTTGGTGGCTGCAGCTGCACCCCAGACACGTGATGAGCAGCCCTGCGGAGCTGGCACCTGCCAGGAGCAAGACGAGGGTATCGTCTGCTTGTGCCCGCCGGGGTACACAGGTGACCGCTGTTACGTAGGTGAGCTCTCTCCTCTGCTGCTGGAGATGGGGGACTAGAAAAGGAGTAATTTGTTAGTTCTCAGTGAGTGCCACTGTGACTAGGTCCCAGAGTGTGACGTGTCTAGGAAGGCACTAGGGCATTCACTCTCCTTCTGAAATTACTCTTAGCCATTGCTCCAATCTAAAGAAAACAACAAATATTTCTTCTGCTGTGGAAACAAGAGCAAAGATGGATCTGCCTGCCAGAGGCATTCATTCTGGCTAGAGAACATGGCTGAGAACTTAGATAAGACAGGTTACAAGTCTCTCCTGTTTTGTTTCTCCTTTCTGTGATGTGTTCACTTGCTGCCTGTATCCCTGAGTGTTTCATAACACTTGCTATGGCTATTAGCAGCTTCTGCAGTGCCGAGGGGCTAAAAGGCAAAACAAGCCAGCCTTGGAAAGAAATCTCTGCTCTTGGAGTTGCTTGTGCTGAGTGCAAGGTTTGGACAGTGCAAACTGTACTTCAGTCTTTGTATTGCATAGAGCTTGGACACCCTCAAGCCTGAATGTTGCGCTGCAGTCTGCAGCTAGAACTGGCTAAAGGAGCATATGTTTGAGGCGATGCTCAGAGCGGGCAAACGCTACCTTTTGTCAGCTCCACTGATAAATGCCATTCCTTCCATCCTGTCCCTTTTTGGTGCATTAGCACTCTGTGCTTTGGTAAGCTCCTTTGCTGCTAAGTATAAACAGATGCAGTATTTAAATTTGAATAACCTTTTATGGTGAAAATACTCTGCTAGCTTTTTGACAAGCCTCCCACTGAGCAGTGTTCACATGCCATGGTGGCAATAGGGTACTACAATGAGAAAAAAATGAGAAGGGACGTTGTGCTTGCCAGCTACTGCTTCTTGGCCAGAGAAAGTCCCAAGTAATATAGCATGTCCCATGATATCCCGGGCCATGGCTTGTTTTCACTTTGCTGCAATTAGGAGCAGGCTCCACGCACTCTGGATAGACCTCATTTCAAAACTGTTAAAGCTTGTGCTGTTGTAAAAGGGTCCTACATAAGCCTTTGGGCGCATCACAGTTCTGAACAGGCTACACGTTCACATAGGCCATGTTACTTTGCTCAGCTCCTAGCAAAAAATAGTATTAATTCCACGTCCTTCCCATGTTACCTCCTGAACTGCTTCTTCCTAGGTTAATTTATGCTGTTCCGCATAGGTTACACTGGATTTGGTAAGGGCCTTTAAGTGCAGGGCTTTGCGAAGCTCAGCCTAGTTTCTAACTTCATTTCCATTCCCAAGGTGTTTTGAATGAGTCACTGTATTTCTCTCTGCGTCACTTCTCTCACTGAGAAAACAGAGGGAATCATG